CCCGGCCGGAAGTCCCCGGAGTTGGGGACTGGCTTCAGTAGAAGCTGCTGGGACTCCCGCTCCCGCTCCCATGTTTTCTTTTGTGTTGCCATAAGTTAGTCTCTCTGCGTTTGTGCACTGGGCTAATGCTAATGCTAATAATGCTAATGCGAGGATAATAAAATGGTGGCTTCACAAAACTTTTTGGAAGTTTTACGGGGCGTGGTTTGCAATCCGCCCAGCCAATCAGACATAGGAACCTTTTTCTCCCACGAAAGTACCTGCTCTCTAGCAGGGACGGAAAAGGGGGTAAAAAAGATTCTGATTAACTAATTTGAGTTCCGGCTCTTTTTGGTGTGAACGCGACATTTCGGAACTATATCGGAACTAAAGTGGGAAAAGTACTGCGGTGTGAACGCGGCCAATGAGTGTTAAGCACATCAGGATGGCAGTTGTAAGGGCATTGCACTATGGAAGTTGTTATTTGCACATTGTTAATCCTGGGCAATGCATCCTTAAATTGTTTAACTGTTAGGTGTTATACAATTGAACTGTACTCTGGAATACACTTGTGAAAAGGCATGTTTGTGAAAGGTCCAAGTGTTTTGTTTTTTTAAGGTAAAAAAGAAACAGCATAATGGGATGTGCAGTACTAGTAGAGAGAACCAAATATGTAAAGCACTTTTTTGTTAATTTATGATTTGCTGCTTATAAGGAATAAAACAAAAATCCTCTGTCGTACCATATTGAATTGTATCATTATTTTGTTGAATTTTGTTGAATCGCGTCATATCGCCCCGAATCGCATAATGTTGAATCAAATCGTATCGAACTGTATCGCAACAGGGGTGAATCGTATCATATTGCATCGCCTGGTGCTTCAAATGTATCGTTAATGTATCGTATCGTTGGCAACGTATCGAGATGCGCATCGCATCGGCCTCAGTGATGGAGATGCACATCCCTACTGTGGACACAAGTGAACATGGTGGAGCCATCACATGGTTTTATCTGTTGGAAAGCCCACTCTGGAGTCCATGATGTGAGACATGCTGCTTTTATAGTAGACCTCATCACCAGTGGTGTTCAGTATGGTACATTTACTCAAGTACTGTACTTAAGTACAATTTTGAGGTACTTGCACATTTCCATTTGATGTTACTTTGTACTTCTACCCCACTACAATTCAGAGGTAAATGGTGTACTTTTACTAAACAACATGTATATAGTAACTGTAGTTACTTTGTAGATATAGATTAATGATAACAATATGATCAACTTGTCATTAAAACTAGCTCCACCTTTACCAGCTTTGATAAACACATCAATAATTATAGTCAAAACATATCATACAATCCATTTACCATTATATATTATTAGAAAATGGGTTCATCTGCATAATGAGTACATTTACTTTTGGTACTTAAAGGTGGGGTAGGTAATTTTGGAGAAACCAGCTCGAGTGCGCTAGAATTTGAAAATACACAACCGGAAAAAATCTGCCCCTTCCTTCAGACTTCCTTACAGAGCCCCTCCTCCAACACACACGAACGTGCACATGACCAATGAGGGCACGAGATACATTTGTGCACAGATGGAAGGCTGACAGGCAGGTAGGCCATCCAGTTATATTAGCCGGGCCGGCTCAGATGATTGGTCGTGCTTTTTACAGTACTACGGCTTCCACCGTTGACATTTTTTTATGTATTTATTGTCAAAGCATTTCATATATTCATTGCTATCGGGATGTTAAGAGCATTCCATGGAATATAACAAAAAGTGTTTCTGAAATAAATTGCATAGGCTACACCAGGGGTTCCCAACCTTTATTGTGCCAAGGACCGGTAGATACATTAAAAAAAAATCGCGGACCGGTTGTCAATTTTAACTGATTTTAATATTTACTCACCACCAGCAGGTAGCAACAGAGGCTAATTGTATGTAACAGCCTGAACAAATACTAGAACAATATGCATCCAAAACATATTAACAAAGTTTAAAAAAGAACCGGTGTTGTTTTTTGGTTTTTCGGAAAACCAAAAAACCGACGTTATTCAGTTTTTAAACCAAAACGGGAAAACAGATAAATCAACGTTTTGGTTTTGTTTGTATGATTTACGGATAATCAAGTGAATGCTGGGAAAACGAGGAGAAGGCGCATTATGAAGGAGCGGTCCGGTCGCCAGGGTGTGTGTGTGTGTGTGTGTGTGTGTGTGTGTGTGTGTGTGTGTGTGTGTGTGTGTGTGTGTGTGTGTGTGTGTGTGTGTGTGACACTGGCATTTGTTTTCAGAAGATATTATGATAGTGTCATTCGTTCCGGTGCACTCCCGACAGCATTTAGCACTACATCGAGATTAAGATTAAACTAATTTATTTTGGGAACAGCCGCATATATGCCGGTGTCGGACAGACACAAACACACCGAACACACAGAGCTGAGCTGAGCAGAGCACATACACACATCATGCGCCTTGGTGACTGACTGGACATCTCCTTCATAAAACTAATAAAAGGGGGAGTAATCGGGCAGTTCGATGTGTGTAGAGATGTGTGTAGAGGTGTGTGTGGTTAACACGTAGCAGCCTGCAGTCACTCTTAAACTGTTCTGATTAAATTAAACACAGCGAAGGCGGTGCGTAAAAAGGCACAGCTCTTTACCGAGTATACGTCCCGCTGCCTCCTGATGCTGCAGCCATTTCATTAAGTGAAGGAGGGTTTCCTTCTATAAAACAGCTGCGGGCAGCATATACCGTGAGAGTCCCGGACATTAATTCATAGATCAAGGCAGACTGGTTTACTCTCCTGTTTTGCCAATCCGGTGCTTAAACAAATAGCTCTACACCCCTGGCCGACATGTCCTTAAAATGAAGTCCGAGTTTGAAATATATCTCAAATAATGTATGCACCACCATTTCCCCACATAAACATAACAGGCTGCAATCAAACGGTTGTCTCCTGTGCGCTCCTCTTCCTACTTGGCGCACCGGTAACATGCTCGTGCGCACAAGAGGCGGACCTTATGGCTGCGCCGCCGAATCCCTCGGAACATCATAAAAGCCATTTTCAACGGTTTTCTGGTGAAAGATTAACTAGCTACTGGATGAAATAATAGGACTGGTGGCATAGGTGCGAAAAATATTATGATAAAATATTTTGATAAAATATTTTTATATATTTATAATTCTGAAAATATTACGATAAACTCACAGCTATTTCGCGGCCCGGTACCGGTCCGCGGACCGGGGGTTGGGAACCCCTGGGCTACACCACCTTTAAAGGTGGGGTAGGTAATTTTGGAGAAACCAGCTCGAGTGCGCTAGAATTTGAAAGTACACAACCGGAAAAAATCTGCCTCTTCCTTCAGACTAGGCTTGTTTGAGATGAGCGAGACCGACGCAGACCTGCGCAATTGCGATTGCCGTCTTGCTAGTGCGTTGCATGACGGCTATTCTCGTCTACTTTCGAGGCGAGCCGCAGCTCATCTCAAACAAGCCTACTTCCTTACAGAGCCCGTCCTCCAACACAGTACACACGGACGCGCACATGACCAATGAGGGCACGAGATAAGTTTGTGCACAGATGGAAGGCTGACAGGCAGGTAGGCCATCCAGTTATTTTAGCCGGGTCGGCTAATATGATTGGTCGTGCTTTTTACAGTACTACGGCTTCCACAGATGAACATTTGTTATGTATTTATTGTCAAAGCATTTAATATGCATTGCTATCGGGATGTTAAGAGCATTCCATGGAATATAACAAAAAGTGTTTCTGAAATAAATTACATACCCCACCTTTAAGTATATGTTGACGTCAATAATTGTGTACTTTGACTTGAGTAACATTTATAATACAGGACTTCTACTTGTAACAGAGTAAATGTACACTTTCTACTCTTATTTAAGTAAGATCTGAGTACTTCTTCCACTTTTTCTGATCACCATTAAACCCTTGCTTTATGTTTATAAGATAGGCTACAGCACAACAAATATCCTTCTTCTAAGATTTAACAACAAGCAATAACAGCACAAAACTGGTTGCATGCTTTGATGCAATCTACTGAAAGTCCACTAAAGTCATACTGTAGGACTCAACTTTATCCGTAAACGAACCACACCTGTTTACCCAAAAGCCCCCCTGAGGGTTTATAACTGTAGTCTTTACAGACCTCAACCCATTTATTGCTATGTCAATACCATTGACATCAAACATATGATCGAGGTGCAGCAGCTGATGATTGGCTCTCAGCGGCACACACAGTTTATGGTCCTGACGTAACAATACTGACAGTACAGTATAACTACAGTAGCTACACAGTTCTCCATTACTGTGATGGATGAACAGAGCAACACGAGTATTCCAGGAAAACAGCGGATTTATCCACAGCAGAAACAGAGAAGGACCACCCTTACTTACCCAGCATTTTAACACCACACGCTGTCTATCTTCAAGTGAAGTTACATCCCATCCATTCAATGTTTGTTCTGACTGACCCCGCGAGACGACCACAAACAGCCCCCTGCTGCTGCTGATCAAAGCAGGATGTGAAAAACTCACCGGCTTTAAAAGCTCCCCTTTCCCGTGTAGGGGCGTCCGACAGAACTCTATTGACAAATTGTAACATTTCAAAATGGCTTCAATATCAGTGTGTAATTTAATGGATGCTCTTCAGATATGTAATTATTGAGACTTTTTAGTACAATCGGCACTAAAGTCATTAATCGTTTTTATATAGTAAAGTCACATTGTTGACCTGTTTTCAACACTCTCACTGCTTTTTGCCCACTTTTCAACGATCATGTCCCACTAAAATGGCTAATGTATATATGGAGTTCGTCTTGCGAGCCAACATCAATCTTTGTTTTCTTCTTAATAACTGAGGGCGGCAATACACACAAATATGCAAACCGAATAATGAGTATAAAACAGCATTTCTATATACTAACGGTATTTTAACATCCTAAGAAGTCATAAGAAATGATGAAACCCATTTTTCCAAGCCATCATGAATGCCTCTGTTTCTATCATGTGACTGACGTCAGCTGACCAGCAGGCGGAGGGCGGAAGCAGAGGATGGTGGTGTTACTGAGCAGGCTGCCTGCCACAGAGTGTATTAAGGTAAGTACCAGGCGCTGTACTCATGAATACTGATGCACATTAACTTTGTTAAATGTATCATGGACCTGTTGGCGCGAAAACATGGAGATAAACCAATTAATGTTTAATATTAGTGAAGGACTGGCTCAATGTTGGCTCGTGCCTTACTACACAACAGGCGAAGTACGCAGTGATGGAAGAAGTACTCAGATTCTTTTTTTAAGTAAAAGTACAAATACTAATGTATTTAAATAGTGAACTACTGTTGAACATACTTAAGTAGACCTACAGAAGTATTATCAGCTAAATGTACTTCAAGTGTCAAATGTAAAAGTACTCTGAATGCATAATGATTCTGTTTAGAGTATTATATTATTATATACATGTATAGTATCTTGTTTTTATAACTAATACATATATGTAGGGGCATTTAAACATTTTAGTTTTTCAGTGTGGGTCCAGTTGAATCACTATTGGCTTTGTAAAATGCTGGGAATATGTGTAGTACAGTAGGCTACTGCATCTTATCAGGTATCATGTGTTTTTATATGTAAAAAAGAACTAGTGACTAAGTGTTCAATAAATAAAAAAACAGTAAAAAGTACACTATTTGGCTCCAAAATGTAGTGGAGTAGAAGTATATGTACAGTATTATAAAATACATTTACTCAAGTATGTAAAAGTAGTACTTAAATACTGTACTTCAGTAAATGTACTTTACGTGACATTACACCACTGCACAGTTGCATCCAAGCAAAAGGGTAATGCACCTAAGTACATGACCTCCAGTACCAACCTAGGTACTTTCATTTGATGGGATTTCATACTTTTACAGCAGTAGATTCTGGTAACCAATATTGTCTTTTTACTTTGCTACATTTATCTGACAGCTTTAGTTAATTTACATATTAAAATGATTAGCTAGTACAAAATATAAATCTAGTCAAAAAAGGTTAACGCTTAATAACGTTAAAAAGTTCCAGCAACAGTGTACAACGTCATTAAAATGAGCTCCACCTTTAACAGCTGTGATAAACACAATAATGCATCAATAATCATAATCTGGTACTTTGATACATATCAAATTACCGGACATATGTATATATATTCTGAAATAGACCATCATTCATAATTCTAGTGGCTATGTTGATGCCAATACTTTAGTACTTTTATTTAATTGTGATTTTCAATGTAGGCCTTTTTATTGTATTTTTACCATTTAGTATTGCTATTTTACTTTTAGCAAAATATCTGAGTACTTTTTCTACCACTGCATCCATCTCAATGTAATACCTGTTAATAGCAATTATAAATTGATATTATTAACGTCATGTTACGTAATACATATGTCACATATTCTGTATTTTTAAGAGGATATCAGATTTAGTTTAAAATCACACTTCATTTTCTAAAATCTGCATGTTTTAATCCAGTTACCAAAGTGTCTGTATCATATTCTATCTCACACTGTCTTTTTCCCTGCTTTGATTTGTAGCTCAATTTGTTTGTATTTCATGATTAAGATATGACTGTCATTAATCTATATTATTGTGGTAACTCTTTTGCATTAATGAGTAACTGTTTTATATTTTATACTTGTTTTATTTCATTGTATTTTATGTCTTTCTTTCTTTCTTTCTTTCTTTCTTCCTTTTCCTAATATTTATATATTGCTTTTGTATTTGTTTTCTTATTCCTTTAACTCTCTTGCAACATTATATCTAATTCACCATTTGTTGCACAATTTAGTCTCTTTTTCTATTATGTGTAAAGTGTATTGTGCATTTTCATAGGAGCCTGGGATTTTCATTGCCCAAACTACACTGTAGTTATTGTGCATGTGAAAGCCTTTGAATCTTTGAATGCTGGGATATATAACCAGTATCTGTGTCACTCACATCCCAGCTAAAGGCCCCAACATGGGAGCCCAAACAGACACAATTACTTTTTTTGCCACATTTATATAAAAATTGAACAAATAATGTAAAAACCAAAGGTACTTGCTTGTTTTTTTCGCTAACCAAAATGCATATTGGGTTCTGTCTGGTGTGTAGTTTTGTCACAGGGTGGTGGATGGCCTGTGTGGCAGGGAGCCCCCCCGCAGGTCAGAGCACAGCACCACCTGGAGCCCGGAGGAGTGGCTGCAGCTGCTGGACTCCCTGAGCGCCTTCTACCGCCGGGCAGTGGGCAGCGACAGCTCTGAGGAGGAGGTGAGAGCGAGGGGTGTGTGAGCTCTGCTTGGGGACTGAATAGGACAAACAGCTGACTTTATTTTCTACATTTATATGGCAGATCTTTACTAAATGATTGAACTCAGGTTGGAGCAATCTTTCTTAGTGGCCAAAGTGTGGAGCTACAACCTCCGTGACAGTCACCTGATGCCACCAGGCCAACAAAGTCCTTCTATTGACTTACATTGTACATTCTTTGTTGCTATAAGTCTGTGCATCGGTATGTTCCATGCCTTTAGGATTGCATCAAATAAAAGCTTGTCTTCTATAGTTTTGTATTATTGAATTCAATTGAATGAATGGAAATGTGATTCTATTCAATAAGCATTTTACTATCATCGAAAGAATCACGAGTAATAATAGATTATGAGGGACAATGAATCAAATGCAACTGACTGTTGGTATTTCAAGTCTTCTCATTGAGGTTATTATATAGCAGATTAAAGAGGCTCTTGAAAAAGTTATTTGTAGGTATTTGTGTTCATTCAGAGTTTGTATGATGAAGGGCTGAAGAATTCATGTTTTCTATAAATAATACAAATATGAAATGGTTTTCTGGCACAATATAAGAATAAACCAACTCATTGGTTGCACAGGGCTGTCGGAACATCCGAGTGCTTGTTCTCCAGAGTCAGCCCATTTTGGTTTCATTTGGCCATAATGACCTGCAACGCTTTGTCCAGTTCTCAGTATACCTCCATGCTTCATACAGCAGAGCAGGATGCTGGCTGTGGTCTCAGCTCTGTTTCTCGTGCAGGTGCTGGGGGGGCTGGCAGATGTTGGCAGCAGCCATGCTGAGGCGGTGCTGAGCGTGCTGAGGGCCAGACGGGAGGAGATCCACCACGCTCTGCTGGACAGAACCAACTCCATCTCCTCTGCCACGCTGCAGGACTTCGACTGGCAACTCAAGGTCACTCCATGCTTTATTTGTCATTCTTATTAGCTCTAAAGATTAATTTGAGATGCAGCTCAGCACTGGTAGGTTGTTCTCGTCGTGGGGGTGTGACTTTTTGCAGAATCAGAATTGGAATCAGAATCAGAATCAGTGACAGGTTTATTACCAGGTAGGTTGACACGTACGAAGAATTTGACTTGGTGTCGTGGTGCATACATAAAAGTAAAACAAAAATTAAAAAACACAGATAGAGAACTTTTTAAAGAAAACTATAATAACATTAAAAAAATAATAATAATAATGAAAAATATAGTAAAATAGAAAAATTAATAAAATAAAGCAGTATTTACATTGAAATAGAATGGAATAAAATACAAAATATGTGCAGTAAAAAAAACAGATATTGTCAACATTGTGTGCATTAATGTAATGCATAGAGTCTGCGTTGTGACTGAGGTAAAGTGTCATGAATGCATTTATGACACTACAGACCTACAGCATATTATGACGGCTGCCTGTGGAAACACAAGTGGTGCTACAGAGAAGAACCAGTTGAGCACCAGAAAAGCACAAGAGCGGATCTTGATCCAGAACCGGTTTGGTGGAAAAGTGGCATGAGAAGACAAGTCTCTCTAAAGTTGACCCCCTCCCCTCTGTGCCCCCCCCCTGCAGCTGTCCCTCTCCAGTGATAAGATCTCGTCCCTGCACACCCCTCTGCTCAGCCTCAGTCTGGATGTGAGGGAGGACGCAGCCCTGCGCTCCGTCACCATGGAGATGAACCGAGAGGAGTTAAACACACTCATCAGTTCCCTAGAGGCCGCCAACAAGGTAATCTTATGAATCAATATGATGATAATGATTTTTCAATTATTTGGGGACAAATTATTATCTATAATCTTTGCATCAAAAATAAGAATGATAATAAAATAAATATTAAAATGAATAATATAAAGTTCTTCTTCACTGAATTTAGTGCATTTAGTTTTTTCCCCGTCTGCTTTTAGTTGTATACTGGGCTCCAACTTATTTTCTGCATTGGTTGCGCCTAACTTTATGTCATCATTATATACAATTTAATAAAAGTACTGTACTTTTATTACAGCTTAAAGGAACTCGTACTCGTATTTAATTTTCCTTTCTTTACTTTATACTAGTATTCCACTACATCTAAGAAGCATACATGTTCCTTTTCACAGCACTACATTTGTCCTTTGATTCAGATGAATACTACCACATTTAAAACAACTAGATAATCATCATGTACTATTATAGATAAAAGTACCAAGCCGTAAAACAAGTTGTTAAATGAGCTCTAACTTCACCAGCTGTGATGTGTGTGTGATAATGTATCAATAATTATAATCAAATAATAGTACAAAATGAGTACATTTACTTTTGGTTCTTTAATTACAATTTGATAATAAGACTTATGTTCCATAGAGTAATATTTAGATAATGATAGAGTATCTTTACACTTATATTGATCTCAATACACCTTCTACGCCTGAATATATTACATCATATTTAATAATGAATAGTGTTACTGTTACTCTATTACTCTGGACTGCAGCCGCATCATTCACCTTGTAAGTTTCACAGTCGGTCATGTTAATCATTTGTGATACATTTTCATATACATTATGCAGCTCAATAAGGTGTTTATAGATGCCAAATGTTCCACAGTAATGGAGGAGAAACACTAGGTGGCGACATTGTTACAGCATGAACACAGAGCCACACTATGATTAAAGCAAACACTCTGAAGGCTTCTCAATACTCTAATTTCCCCTCCTCGACTCCTCGGTCCTCCGGTAGTAACCCGGAAATGGATTTCAGCGCGCCATGTTGAAGGACATCTCATTTCTCTAAATGCACATCGAGGACCGAGCATCGAGGAGAGAGGAGAGAGGAGAGAGGAGAGAGGAGAGAGGAGAGAGGAGAGAGGAGAGAGGAGGCTCTCTGGAGGAGCTATAATCGAGGATACACTGATGGGTCCTCCACGGCTCCTCCGCGGATGCATTTCCGGGAACAGAGATGTTTCAAAGAGTCGTGACGCACGGCCGGACTGATCTCAGCCAATGACAGCTCTGCATGCATCCCCTGGATATTATTTTAGTAACTGCTTTCATCGTGACGCGATGTTTCCAGTGAGAACAGCTGTGAGGTCCGTGCAGAAAGCAGAGCAGTGTGTATAATATATATCACTCAGTATAACAGGCCTACATTACTCTCTGTATTTGTATGCTGTAGTTTAGTAGATATCTACAAACAAAGAGTCCATATCTTTCTAAAACCATTTAGTGCTTCACATAATAAAATACACAACGGCTGTAGCCTGATATGATATGCTTTAGGAGCTGTAGGTGTGTGTGGTAGGCCTACAGTGTGTAGGTGTGTGTGTGGTACAGTGTGTAGGTGTGTGTTGTACAGTGTGTAGGTGTGTGTTGTACAGTGTGTAGGTGTGTGTTGTACAGTGTGTAGGTGTGTGTGTGGTACAGTGTGTAGGTGCGTGTTGTACAGTGTGTAGGTGCGTGTTGTACAGTGTGTAGGTGTGTGTGTGGTACAGTGTGTAGGTGTGTGTTGTACAGTGTGTAGGTGTGTGTGTGGTACAGTGTGTAGGTGTGTGTTGTACAGTGTGCGTGTTGTACAGTGTGTAGGTGCGTGTTGTACAGTGTGTAGGTGCGTGTGGTACAGTGTGTAGGTGCGTGTTGTACAGTGTGTAGGTGCGTGTGGTACAGTGTGTAGGTGCGTGTTGTACAGTGTGTAGGTGTGTGTTGTACAGTGTGTAGGTGTGTGTTGTACAGTGTGTAGGTGTGTGTTGTACAGTGTGCGTGTTGTACAGTGTGTAGGTGTGTGTTGTACAGTGTGTAGGTGTGTGTTGTACAGTGTGTAGGTGCGTGTGGTACAGTGTGTAGGTGTGTGTTGTACAGTGTGTAGGTGTGTGTGTACAGTGTGTAGGTGTGTGTTGTACAGTGTGCGTGTTGTACAGTGTGTAGGTGTGTGTTGTACAGTGTGTAGGTGTGTGTTGTACAGTGTGTAGGTGTGTGTTGTACAGTGTGCGTGTTGTACAGTGTGTAGGTGTGTGTTGTACAGTGTGTAGGTGCGTGTGGTACAGTGTGTAGGTGCGTGTGGTACAGTGTGTAGGTGCGTGTTGTACAGTGTGTAGGGCGTGTGGTACAGTGTGTAGGTGCGTGTGGTACAGTGTGTAGGTGCGTGTGGTACAGTGTGTAGGTGCGTGTTGTACAGGTGTGTAGATGTGTGGTACAGTGTGTAGGTGCGTGTGGTACAGTGTGTAGGTGCGTGTTGTACAGTGTGTAGGTGCGTGTTGTACAGTGTGTAGGTGCGTGTGGTACAGTGTGTAGGTGCGTGTTGTACAGTGTGTAGGTGCGTGTGGTACAGTGTGTAGGTGCGTGTTGTACAGTGTGTAGGTGCGTGTGGTACAGTGTGTAGGTGCGTGTTGTACAGTGTGTAGGTGCGTGTGGTACAGTGTGTAGGTGCGTGTGGTACAGTGTGTAGGTGCGTGTTGTACAGTGTGTAGGTGCGTGTTGTACAGTGTGTAGGTGCGTGTGGTACAGTGTGTAGGTGCGTGTTGTACAGTGTGTAGGTGCGTGTTGTACAGTGTGTAGGTGCGTGTTGTACAGTGCGTAGATGCGTGTTGTACAGTGCGTAGATGCGGCGGACAGACGGGTCTCAGTTGGTTTGGTGTCCTATGCTTACTTTTAATACTTGTAAATACAACTTTTGGCCCGTAATTTCAATTCCCCATTTCAGCGACCAGAGAGGAGGGAGGGGGGGATATATCCAGTCTCTGATTGTGTTACGTTATTATGAGAGTGCTCTCATACTTGTTTGATTCTGAAATTGTATATATATACATATGTGTGTGTATATGTCCGCATCTGTAGCCTGTTATTGTCTCATTATACCGCTGCACAAACACACGTAGTAAATATCTGCACCTAATCAGTCATATGAAATGCTAATAGTGTGTATGTATTTGTGTCTTTCAGGTGGTGCTGCAGTTGAAATGATGGACAGATTGTGGAGGAATCGTCCCACTAAAACCCAGGACTACAGGAAGTCCAGCAGGTGTTTGTCAGGGTGTCATGAAGTGTGAAATCGACTCTCTGCCATGCCGTGTGTTGGAGGCACAATGACAGTCATATACATGAACATGTTTATGAGCAGCAGAACTCTCACTATTTGTTTTTTAAATGGACTGTTGCATCAGTGTTGTATCAGGAACTTATCAAAGTACATTTTTATTTGCCTTTTCATAATGGTAAATCTTATTCTAGTGTCCATTCCATTTTACAAATAGTAGAAAGAAGAGTGAAATGTGCTAACAATAAATACCCCATTAACTTTATACCATACATATATCACGTATACTTATTTGTGAAGTTTGAATGTTGAGCATATTGAATGAAATTTGAGAATATGGAATTAAAGCTTGAATGTATAGAATCAAACATGAGAATTGTTCAAGCTATTCGACGTCCACGACACAGGGCCACGTTTTTTTCTGATTCATCTGTACAAATGTTGCTGCAAGAAATGTATTAAATAAAGTAAAGTAAAATAACCTAAATAAAATATTTAAAAAATGGACTACTGCTAATGATTGACAGGTAGGCCTACTATGATACAATACAAAGTTTATAGTAAGAAGCAATGCTGTCTTTTCTATAAATCTGCATAATGTGTGTTATCATGGAGAGGGGTTTGGAGACAGTTTTTTATGAAACTAGCAAATGGTTCATGATATTTTCAACAGGCCATACTATGACTTTTTCATGATATTTTCGACATGTTATACTTTTTTTTCAACATACCAACATACTATACACTTACTTTTTTAAGTACTTGACGAAACGGATTTCACATTTGATGACAAACTACACAATTACTTTTTTCATATGTTTTTTTTTACAATTGTTTGGAGGTTAACTAGTATAGATCTAACTTCCAAAGATTGGGCACGACTGCCCAGAGCGTGCCGTGGTTCCCATTCCCTATTAGCCCGTCCCTGGTCTCTCCTGGTGTGAGCTAGCTTGTGTAATTAGCATGGTTAGATGCTAAGTTAGCAACAACTCCTGGGCTGGGTGGCTACAGTCATCAAATCCTGGCTAAGACAAACAGGGCTAATGTAGTTAGCCTAGTTAGCGGCTAAACCAACACTCTCCAGCTGCAAAATCTATATAATCCTGGTAACTAGCTTCTTTAGTTTAGTTTAGTTTAGTTGAGGCCATCAAAGAGAGCTAACGGAATGGGGCAGGGCTTATCTGCCTCAGAAAAAAACAAGTTGTGTAGCATGATTTAAAAGAAGCTTTTCACCACTATGACCCCCCAGGTAACAGAGGGATATAGAATATATAAATGAGATATAGAATAATAGATGAAAACTTAAATATTAAAAGCTAGGCGAGTGCAGACATGTCACATTATGTGTGTCAAGATGAGGTTTGTTTCCAGGCCGTGGCCTTCCAGTTGATTAGACAGGCGTCTGTCTGATTAATACTGAGAATGAGCCCAGCTGCCCCGACACACACATTCATGCTAAATGTGTTAATGGCATTGGTCTTCACTCCAGAGCGTCACATTAATCCTGAGAATGAGCGCTACACAGCAGTGGCGGCACCAGATATTTTCTTTTGGGGGTGCTGTGGGGTAGCTTGACGTTTCATAGAGGGTGCTCAAACATTTAGGGTTCCCCATTAATGTCCCGGGCGCTACAGTTGAATTTTCTACTGCAACACTCCCCACACGCACATACACAGTACACCCGCGACTGTTACAATGAAGGCACGATAATCAGCTCACGGCATATAGCCTACTGTAGGTGTAAGCAGGGGTAAAGTGCTATTTACCCCTGGCGCCGCCACTGCTACACAGACGTGTTAACTGGACTAATGGAGTCCTCCTCCAGCCCCTGCAGCTTCCCTCTAACCCCTCACATCTGCAGTGCACAGCTGGAGATAAAAGAGGCCAAGGCAGTGCTGGACTGAATCAAAGCTTTATAGATCAACTTCAGGAAAGATTATATTACAGTATGCTTTAACAAAACAGTATCATCCTTTTCCAAGCTAACTTTAACTACTGACAGTTAAAACGATTCACTGTTGGATAAGTGTGTATGTTGTTGTGCTCACCTGGGAGCACGTGCCCCACGTACTAAGTCCTATGAAGGTCGCATCCTTTCTTCCCTTCCCTTTTTTCTGTCTGCAACCTTCAACTGCACAATCCAATAAAGACAAATAGGAAAAATAAATTATCTAGTGTGTTTAGGATTCTGTAGCATCTAACTGGATGATTCAGATTGCAACCAACTGGATACCCCTCCGCTCAACCCTCCCTTTATAATGGTCTGGAGTTCTAAATATTATATTCCTTATTAACCAATATATCTCCCTAAATTCTACACACTGCTCCTTGAATGTAGAAAGAAGTGTATAGCTGGCTATAGCACATTGTGTTATCAGCATAAACTATACTGCACTCATCCATGCAGTTATGTAACTCAAAGGTCTATAAGTAGATGTCCCTACTGCAGTACAATGAACAAAGGCTGACTGGAAGGTATTACAGTCTCAATGATCTCCAACACCACAGCATGTTTTGGAAAATGGTATATGTATCATGGTATGGTGATAAAGAGCCATCAAACACGCAGTTCTTTGATTTTCAAATTATTTTGAGATAATCAGTTCACATTCACAATATCCTCTGTGCCCAGCTACCCAGCCATACTTCAGTGCCTACTTTACATACTATAAAGAAGTCAACTATTATCTCAGCAGAGGCTATGCTTTTCAGCTGACATCATGCCCATCAACCTCAGACCGGACCTTGTGCTGTGGTCAGATCATTGAGCTGAACGTAGCGGGGAAGAAAAGGTCCAGACATTTCAGGAAGGCTGCAGAGGCTCAGCGATGACGAGGCTACTCCGTTAGCAGGGAATAAGACGGCCCTAAGGCACGCAGTCAAAGAACTGAAGGAAAGGGGCAGTCAGCGGCTATGAAGGAAGCAAAATGAACCCCTCTGGAGGTGTCGTATCAGTGAAACATTGAGGAAAGAGTTCCCACTTGATAACCCACGGGCTGCCATCCCTCACTCGACCATCCTGCAGAGTCCAGGAAGCAGCATGTCTCAAGAATGCAATCAAGGGATATTAACACCATCGCTACATAACAGACTTGTCTCCTTCAAGATCCACCATCATCACACTTGAACTTGTGAAGCAGTTCACTGAACTGTGCATGGCTGAATGCAGCCTACTAAGCAGAACTGTTGGGATGTTCCAATTAGCTAAGCAGAAGGAAATTGTTGACCTTGTACAGTTCTTTATGTAAAGTTTGGTCAACAAATTCAGCATGGCATGAAACCCAAAACATTTTTCTTAAGTCAAATGGAAAATGTGTACCTTATGACAAATTTGCAATTTGCAACATAATCTACAAATGAATTAATATGATTCCACATCATGGTGACATTATAAGAGTTACAAGCTATTTCCGTCTCAAAAGAGTCTACTTTACTGTGTAGTGCTCCAATGAACCTCTATGCAGATGATGCTCATATTATCATAGCACAATTAACCTGTAAGACTGCGCTGGGAAGCAAAATATTTTGCTTTCATCAAGCCCCAATCTTTGGTGAGATATTCAAACAACAAAAAAACAGACAAATATACATGTTTCTAATAATTCAGCCAAATACCACTTAGTTGGTAGAGATGTCAGCAATTTTATTTAAACCTTATTCTTTGAAGTCTCTAGTGGACACAAAGAATTTGTATTCTGTGTTTTCTTCCTCTCATACGCATCCATAAGCCCATACTTATACTCAACAATGCGCACGCACGCACGCACGCACGCACGCACACACACACACACACACACACACACACACACACACACACACACACACAGTCTTATGTTTGCCTGTAAACAAGCTGAAAGACACACAAGCAAACTCACCCACACCCCATTCCACTTGAGAGCACATAAAGAGCATGAGAGAAAAATTGTACAGTAATTTTACACAATAAGAGTCCAGCCCATGTCCAGCCCCCCCACATCCTGTAGGCAAAACAGTTGTTCATGGCTTCCATGGCTCGTCCATTCACAGAAAAACATGAGTCCATCTGCTTTGCATCCTTTGTTGAGAAGAAAAGCTGTTTTTCTTTTTTTCCACCTCCTGTCCGTCCACTCTGCTCTGGGTAGAAACAGCAAAACTGGCATAATGGAGACCAGCCTCGCAGGAGATTTTCTTTTCAGCATTGAATTCAAAAGATTGCCATCGAAATGCTGGAATGTCTTACAACTACAATCTACGCTTAGATAATGGTACCGTACGCTAGAGCGTCAGAAAAGAGTCCACTTCTGTTTTTGGTTCTCCTTGTTCTTCTTAATCTAAAAAAAGTACAAGATGATTTGTTTTTAAATTCTACTCACTAGATAGAAGTTAAGTTAAACCCTGTGAAAATATTGAGATTCTTGGTAAAGGCACAATATTCAGCCATGAGGAAAGAGCACACCGCTACTATTGTGTCCTGTAGAAGCCTTTGTATTTTTCTCTGTTTAAAGCCCTGATAAAACAAGCTGTCCACATTTCTCATAACCATCATGTTGCTGTTAATATACTGTACATCACCAGTTCGTCCTTAACTTAAACCCTTAAAAGTCAGATTATTTCTTCTTCCTTTCTTAATTTGTAGTAGTCAATGCTGTAATTTGGAAAAGTGATCTGGGAAAGTAGAAACATAGCTAAAGACAGGTTTAAAAATACATGTTTCCAAAGAGTACCTGCTTGATTTTTTTTCCATAAGAAATTGAACAATATTTCAGATTGAAGTCAGATTTATATTTGCCTCCAATTAAAGGTAGGGTAGGTAATTTCGGAGAAACCAGCTCGAGATCGCTAGAATTTGAAAATACACAGCCGGAAAAAATCTGCCACTTCCTTACAGAGCCCCTCCTGCAACACACACGAACGCGCACATGACCAATGAGGGCACGAGATAAGTTTGTGCACAGATGGAAGGCTGACAGGCAGGTAGGCCATCCAGTTATTTTAGCCGGGCCGGCTCAGATGATTGGTCGTGCTTTTTACAGTACCACGGCTTCCACAGATGATATTCTTTTATGGATTTTTTGTCAAAGCACTTAAGATATTCATTGCTATCGGGATGTTAAGAGCATTCCATGGAATATAACAAAAAGTGTATCTCGAGCCGGTTTCTCAAACTTACCTACCCCACCTTTAAGTGTTTTAGATCATTTGGATAAGAGTGGGTTTGTCTACACTTGATCGTCTGATTGCTTGGGTTTCTTGACCCGTCTGAGTTATGCGGTCTTCATAGTTCTCAGCAATTAAGTTAATTAGCGCAATGTTAGCTTAAAGGTGGGGTAGGTAAGTTTGAGAAACCGGCTCGAGATACACTTTTTGTTATATTCCATGGAATGCTCTTAACATCCCGATAGCAATGAATATATTAAGTGCTTTGACAAAAAATCCATAAAAAAATATCATCTGTGGAAGCCGTAGTACTGTAAAAAGCACGACCAATCATTTTAGCCGGCCCGGCTAAAATAACTGGATGGCCTACCTGCCTGTCAGCCTTCCATCTGTGCACAAACTTATCTCGTGCCCTCATTGGTCATGTGCGCGTTCGTGTGTGTTGGAGGAGGGGCTCTGTAAGGAAGTGGCAGATTTTCTCCGGTTGTGTATTTTCAAATTCTAGCGATCTCGAGCCGGTTTCTCAAACTTACCTACCCCACCTTTAACTGATAGTTAAGTTATGGCCAAAGCTCTAAAGACAATTCCTAAATGTAATTGAGGAGAGGTTACCTATCATTCACCACCCATAGACTCACTCAGTGACCAGTAAAATAGAAACCTTGCAACAACAAAGTGAAACTGCCTTTACCATTAGCATTAGTCTCTACCAAAACCAGCGACTCTATTTCCCTTTTTGTTTTGCAATAATTATAATGCAAAGGTCTATCAATAAGCTTGTGTAGTTTGTGGGCTTTGAAAAGACAGCTTCTTTAAAGTGAAACAATGATAGAACCAAGAAAACTCATAGGATATTTGCCAAGACAGACTCCCTTAGCTAGGTCTACCAAGATAAGTAGGACATTGGGTATATCAGGTCACTCTGACTGGATTAAAGAATTACATAAATGCACGATGTGTCTGAGGCTACTATTTAACGGTACAGGATGCCTTTCCTGTCAATGGTAATCTGATGAAAGTGTTTCATTGGATAAGAACAGATCAGTATTCCAGGAAATTGTCCCCATACTTGACTAGTGTACCTGGTGATTCAAGTGCTTTTGTTTTTGGAGCCAAACTGTATTGTACATTGGCGTTGTTTATCTGCCATAACCACAATCCTTTGTCTTTTTTTTGTGGCATTCTAAGTATAAATGTCCTGTATTGCCTTTCATAGCTGGCAACAGGGTTGACTCTGTAACGTGAGTTATGCACTGCAGACGGCTAGAAAAGTGCTGTCTAGTTTGATACATTCTGGTTTCAAATGATCTGTTGGTGGTTTAACAGCTGTGCATGCCTGTGAGTGAGTTGATAATGGTTTTGCCAGTTGTACATACCCAGAGATTAACACGTTTATACCAGAACCCAAAGCAGTAGAAGACCTTAACATGGTAGCAAATTGATTTCATCATCATGAACATTTTCAACATAACAATACTCCCCTTCATATCAAATAATCTCCAGGAACTCTTCAAGGACCAATTGGAAGGAAGGTCAAGTCATACAACAAATCCTACTATCATCTATGGAACAAACACAAATAATAGAGTCCTTGGTTTCACATCTTCTGGTTACATATATGCACCCATGCAGAAAACCTGTGCGCTGCTGAAGCTTAAACAATTTACCAACACAAACTCCAGTCTTGTGCATGGGCTTGCTAGATGACCATTCAAGTTCCTGACCTCTCCATTCTAACTATCCATTTCACTATGTTTTAAGGACACCCTTCTTCCTGCATGGGCACTAATCATAATTTGCAAGGTGAGGAATTGTCCGATATGCATGCAATTTACAGGAACAGGCTGGCAGGTGCATTCACTTGGTGCAATGCTAGTTGTTGTCTCTATCTTAATGGCCATAATCTTACTGTCCTCACCACTAGTTTTGTAGTGTATTTTGGTCCTGATCGAGGACTGGAGATGGAGCAAACTAGAACTTGGTCTTAGAACTCATACCTCGGCCATATTCATGAGCCTTGATAAAAAAAGACAATCCACTGAAAAACTGAAAGTTAAGAGTAAGATTGACCTTGTGCTTAGGGGTAGGCTTAAATTATTTGACCCATCGGGAGAATAACCCCAATGCAATAAGTTATGTATTATAATTTATAAATATTTTGTTATAGTTTTTACAATCTCACAAAAATGTAATTGAAAATGTTTGTTAGACCACGTGTTGCAACACCAGCAGCAAGTTTTATCAGGGCTTTACATTTTTAATGTGATTTTGAAAGCATGGTGACATCATTGGTCATTCTTTACCTGATTTCTTTTAAAGAAAATTACATTGTACATGCTCACAGACGCTGTGAGAATATCGTAGATACATTTTGTTTTTGAGAAATGACTGGAGTTCCAATTAACCTCTGTCCTGTACTTACCTTAAATGCAATGATTGTTTCGCAAGCATACAGTATAATGATTATAATACAGATTGGCTCAGTAGAGCCATGCAAAGCTTCTTTTTTTAAAGAAAAGAAACTTGTCAGAAATAACCCCGCATCATAAAAAGCAATTTGACATGTTTTATAGCTTGCATATGACTGTCAGAGAAGGATTTCAACGCAAGTCTACAAAAAAAACCTCAGTCGGAGCACTGAGCGCCAAATAAGGACTATATATTACGATGGGAATCAACAACATGTCTTCTCATAATAAGTTAGGTGAGCTTCAGTTACAAGTCACCTACTTGTTTTGCACTGGGCTTCTTTGTCTCTTGTTTTTTTTTTTACCTTAAGCAAACAAAAAGGTTGTGTTTCATTCACATGCAAAAAGTGAGATAACAGAAGGTAAGTAAATGAGATAGAACAAATGAAAGATCATTGCCGGTCATTTCAAAAGTCTTTTTGGCAAGTTTTTGCTTAGAGATACTATGTCTTTACTGTGTCTTAAATTCCATTATTTTCATCCATCTATTTTGTACAGATGAGTACAGGAAAAGTGATAGGATTTTTTATAAATTATACCTCTGTTATATATATATTTATATATTATATATTAAATTGTATTTACATTGTAAAGACATCCAGTTCTACATCTCATTCCAAAACACAATTTATACAAATGCTCCATCGTTTTCATCGCTGTACAAGCCCCGGTTAACTTTCTCTACTGCCACCCTAATTGACGTAGTAAAACCAGTAGACCAGGTTGAAGAAGGTGAACGCAATCGGGAAAACCACGCGAGACCACTTGTCTATGGCGTTGACATCCGTGAGGTCGGGGATCTTGACTTTGAGCTGCGAGGCCCTCCTCCGCAAGCGCCCCTTCTTGTGGCCCATTGGCCGGTCGAGGGCCGGTCGTCCGTACAGGTCTCGGCTGGTCATGGGCTTGCGGTACTGTATGCTGGCGCTGTCGTAGGAGAACATCGTAGCCCGAGGGTCATTGAGAACACCCATCATATCTGCTCCACTCATCTCACTGGTCAGGTTGGTCAGGAGGATGTTGCCGTGAGCGTCAACCTGAGGAAGGAAATGTCATTAAAGTAATTTTGTAACCAAATCCCAAGTAGAATGCAAAGTCAATGGTTGTACCCTAACAAAAGTAGTATCAAGTTTAGCAAAGACATATGGGAACTTGAACATTGCATCGTGGTCTGACACATACAGGGAATAACTTAGCAAGAGCGACTCGTTGAGGATATTGAATGGCGTAGCCAATTGATCTGAAGGGAAGTCAGGCATGTGTTGGTTTAGTTATTGTGTTCATTTGTGTTGACAGTAGGCACATAGCTAGAAAATGTAACTAAATGTCCATCCATCACATCCCTGTAAGTGTAGGCCATTAAAATAAATCATAATCTAACCTGTATACTACTAGTTGTCTTTACTTTTTCTTCTTCGTTTTTTGCTTTCTTTGGGTGAAGGTTACGAAGCAACTTTCAGGGCAAAAACTCAGAAGAGCTGTCCATGACTGGTCTGTCGGTTCTGAAACAGCTACTGGGTAAGTCCTGCTGCCGGAGTATGCCACAGTGCTGCAATTATACTGTGCAGCTGCACCTTCTCAAGAAGAATCCTCGGATCCGTAGGTATTTCTTGTTAACTGTAGTTTGTTGAAAGGGACAAAATCAAAACGTACTTGATTTGGTCACCCCCTTTTTTACCTCCTCTAACCACAAGTTAGACAGAGTTAGCTAGCTGTGGACTCCACGATCCCTCTGCCTCACTGCTGGGGGTCTACTTCACCAGGAGTCGAGCTGTTGGCAGCTCTGGAGACGCCTTCAGTTAGTGGCTGTAGCACCAATTGCTAACTACAAATATGTATAGCCATGGGGGATGGAGGTTATATTTAAGAAGATTTTTTTTTTTGGAGCCAAACATAACCAAACACACTTACTTTAAAAACATTTTGCTAACTTCTGAAACTGTGAATCCAATAATCAGGTTGACTTAATGCAGCCATAGGACAGGGGAATAAAGTGTTATAGTGGGCAGGGTTAGAACTTCACAATATTTTATTCTTATCACAGCCACTGGGAACCGCTGTAACTTTGTCACCTTCACTAAAGCCATAGTGATACAACACGTCTTTTTTCTCTTATGGTGCGTTCGCATTGCGTTAACCGCGTGACTTCACCAAGGCTGTCAGTTGTGTTTACTCACGTCATGCAAAGGAGGCGGGGCTTATCTCCATGTTGATACTATGGTGGATACCAACTACAACAAATGCACGTTTACAAATGATGCCGAAATAACAACATACTGATACCGGTTTGTAAAAACTATGAATTAATGCTTTGACAACTGTGCAAACAAGATGGCAGAACGCGTTAACAAATTTGACGTTGAGTTGAAAAAATGTAACTCTCGCGAAGAGACGAGTTGCGTCATTCTTGTCGCATCAATCGCGTCAGTTGTGACACCGGCTCAAATTCACGTATCTCTGTGTATTTGGGTGTGAACGTACCATTAGAATACATTATTCAAATTCATCAGTATTACAACAATAGTTCTACCGACAGCCAACTGTTGCCATGTTTTTTTGGCCTCTCTGATGTCAAAGCCCAAACGGTACCAAAACTACACAAAGCCCCTTTCCCACCTGGACTTTGTTGCTCTCCAGTCGGTTCTTCTCGTTGTTGGACTTTGCAGCTTTCTCTGCCACCTTCTTCTGCAGGTGAGGACCACGACCGAAGAAGATATAGTTGACAAAGGCGTACTCCAACAAGGCCAGAAAGACGAAGACAAAGCAACCCATCAGGTAAATGTCAATGGCCTTGACGTAGGGGATCTTGGGTAGAGTCTCCCTAAGGTGGGTATTGATGGTGGTCATGGTCAGCACCGTGGTTATACCTGCAAGCAAATGGGAAAGCGGTAAGAAGAAGATCTTTTTCAGAAGAACTGCATGCTGAGTGGACACCATTGCTGCAGAAGAATCAATGCCTTCATTAGCCCTTCATTGCCGACCATACTGTATACTGACTGTGGGCGTTTCAAGACATTTCCAAGACATCTTCCAACATTCTCTTTTTCTGTTAAGGTCGTGGTGTAGGGATAGCAGGTCAAGGGGTTAATCAGTCCACATCTTTGGTCAAGATTGAAATATCTTCACACATATTGGATAAATGGCCATACCATATGTAAATGGTAGCCTAACTAAAATGTTATAACATGTAAAGCGTGTTACGTAGTAAAATTACAATATATGCTTCTGAGATGTATTGGAGTAGAAAGTAGCAGAAATTAGAAATACCGGTACATTTCGGTTCTTCTAAATGTACTTTTTATTATTATTCAGTGTATTTCCGTCGGTGTTTGGGTTTTTGTTAGGGAAGCATTATCTCATGGTCCAACCCTGCAGTAGAAGGAATTGCTATAAAGGGATAGGTATACTTTGAACTGTGTTCACCAGTTTAATATGGCATCTAAGCATGCTAACATTTGCTGAGATGAATAAAAACACAAAAGTACAGCTAAGGTAAAAAGATGTAACCTTATGATGGCACTAGGTGAACATTCAGAAAATCTCCAAATTTGGATTAATATCCTGGGTACCATACCTTTCCCTAAAGAATCTCTCAATCCATGTAATAATTGTTGAGATGTTTCAGTGTGGCCCAAACAGTGAACCAATCACTCATCCTGCATAAACACATATAGAGCCAGGACAAACATCATATCAGCAGACACAATCTGTAAATAATATAAAAGCCACTGACCCAAAGCTACTCTGGCAGCCGACGCATCATAGTTGATCCAGAAGGAGACCCAGGACAGGATGGTGATCAGGGTGGAGGGCATGTAGGTTTGCAGGATGAAATAGCCAATGTTCCTCTTCAGCTTAAAGCTCAGGGACAGACGTGGATAAGAGCCTGTTACACACAGGGTGATGAAAGCATTGTTACTGTTGCTCCACAAAACACACAGACATAATTAATGATGTACAGTTAAGAGGAAACCACACACTTCCATGTCATCAAAATTGCCCATTAGGATCTAAAACAGAAGCACCTTTCAGTGTCTGTTTAATATGAAGCTGTAGAGCAGTGACCATCAACTGGCCCGCCAGACTGTGGCGTTGGCGGAGTGGTTAGTGCGTTCGCCCCCCACTTTTTTTTTTTTACAACGCCTCGTGAGTAATGTGCAGTACCGGAGTCCAACAGAGAGGCAGCAGCTGCGGGACAGTAGCCTGCGTACTGCGTAGCCTTCCCTGCCCTGAAGAAGAAGTGATCCTTCGTTAGCGTGAAGAGTCTGCTTTATGCGCTCCGCAGCAGTAGCCCCGCTACGGGCTCCGGCGACTTCACAGTACATGCACCCCCCCCCCAACAGAGTCCAACAGAGTCCAACAGAGAGGCAGCAAAAAGTGAGAGTAGAAGTGGTGACTATGACATGAAAGATAATTCTGTTCCTTGTTACTAATATATCTAATATATGGACACCATTTGACTCTATTACCTGTGGCAAACACAGCTTTCTTGGATTGGGTCTGGTAGTCTATGATGTCGAACTGGGGCAGTTCGATGTTCTCCACTCCAGTGACCGAGCCTATGTTGGGTCCTCCCTGCCAGTAGAACTCGATGTCGTCAGTGGTGTATCCATCTGAAAGAGGCAGGGTGACACAACAAGGTAAACCTTCCTTAAAACACAAGACAAGCATGTAATGAACCAATGTAGTGCATTACATCTCATCTGATTTGAATAACGCTTTTTTTTCAAAGCAACTTTCAATAAGTGCAACCAATCATGAAGAAACAAACTCAAAGCGAGGATCCTTTAGGTACATTAGCTTATAATAATCCAAACCATTTTAAGTGCTACCCTTTTGCCTTCAAATAAGCCAAACTTTTTGCTACATCCAGAAATGAGAATTCCTTTTTTCATTGCCCAAGGTGCCGTCGAAACAGGTAGGTTTTTAGTCTGCAACCAAAGACGTGTAGACTTTCTGCTGTCCTGATATCAATCGGGAGCTTGTTACACCATTTTGGAACCAGGAAAGCAAACAGACATGTTTTATTTGAGGGGTACATCGATCACTCTCACAGTTAGGGAGTAGGGAGCCGATTGGCCGACGCAGAGTGAAGTGGACGTGATGGAGTGTTTGGTTTACCCATGTTCTGGATGTAAGAAGGACCTGATTTATTCATAGCACGAAAGGCCAGTACCAGTGTCTCAAAGTGGATTCTGGAAGCCACTGGCAGCACACACCAGTGTGTTGAAGCAGAGTACATTCGAAGAACGGAATGCCATCAAAAGTTGACAGCTGAGGACGCTAACAGACATGCCGTTGTTAGCTTGGATTTACGGTGCGTTGTCTCACTTTTGTACGGTTCGCCTGGACAGGTGAGATTGCTGTTATCACACTTTAGTCCATAGCACATACCGTGTCTACCTTTCTTTTTATATTACCAACAAACCGCCCTGAATGTAATCTGATGCACATTCTTAAGACGTGAAACCTATGGCTGCAAATTCCAGTATTGTTGCTGATGGCAGTGATAAAGGTAATACAAGTGGCAAGAGTAAAACTTTTTGTCTCATTCTAGCTACCGTCTTGTGGTTCGTATCCAGATGGGGCAGAAACAGCCTGAGACAGAACCCCCACCCTGAGTCTCCCTCTGCCTTGACTTCAGTTCGTCCTCCAGACCAGTCTGACAGGCAGCATCCCTCATCCTTCCTCACCCCTTCCGCTAACATTCAATATCTCCTGTAATCAAATCTTTGACATATTGTGGCACTGTCCTTGCTAGTGAACCATGAAAATGTGTGGTCTACCAGGGAATGTGGTGGTTGTACATTCTGAGTGCCATTTTTGTTCCCATTGGCCTACGCTGCCCCCGTTGCATACTGCCTTCCTATTTATCCTCCTCCTAAAGGACAGGAAGTAGTGCTCTAGGTGAGTCCTTCACCTATGAGTTTACACTAAAGTTACGTGATTACTTAGCCCAAAGACTTTTTCTGATGTTGAGATTCAATTGGCAAGAATGCAATTACATGCCAAAAGCCGTAATTTTAGGTAATGTTTTCCTAGAAAGTTTAGAGCAAACCAGAGGCCCACTGGCATAAAGACTCCAGCTTCATAGGCAGATTCCACATCCATTTCCTAAAATATGTCATGAATGTAATTTCCCGTTTAGTAAATGTTAGCAACAGTAAAATAACAAAAGTAATATTTTACAAAGAAATCTGTAGAGACTCATTTTTTGAATTTTGAGCTGAAAAACAATTTGAGTCTTGTCCATTAGACCAGGATCATTTCATTATTATAACATTGAAACATTCGTAGTGAATCACCATTCATTTACACAAGGAATTGTTGAAAGTATGTCCTCCATATTTTAACAGGAAGTAAAAATAACGAATTAAATCAGTGTGACTGATAAAGCGGAAAGTAGGCTCTCTTTTTCCGTTGAACTGTTTCCCACAGGCTGATCCTAATCAACATTAACGTCTCTGGGCTATGTTTATAGCCTGAATCAGAGTGAACACTGCCCTGTCAGTAATTAGAACAATTTATTTGGGCCAGCTTCATCTTATCAAAAAGTCTGTGGCAGGATATCGTGGCATTAGCTACTTATCAATACTGGAAGGGATTCTTTCCTTTTCTTTTTTTCTCATCCGATTAATGTATGTGAACAGACCCTAACCCCTAACCCTAATCCCTGAACCCTAACCCTACACATGATGACTGAATATGACATCATGAATGAAGTGGTTTAAAATATTTAGACCTATTTTTAGCTGTATCTGGGTTTGAAAATGCACTCTACAATAACTCCTTTTTCTCACTGCAGACACACAGAGGTCTAAAAAGGTTTTTAAGTTACTTCCAACATGGCATGTGATCTGTATCTGGCTTTATTATCAGGACTAGAAAGTTACCCATGCAAATGCAGAAGTAAATGCTACTGTTCAAATCCTATTCTTGTTTCAGAAATAGTAGGTTCCAAAGACCAAAAACATTTTAGAAGGCCTCACGAAATACTTTAATGTAAATAAAAATAAAAATATGAAGGAATGTGTGTACAACAAAATACATCCGTCATAAACAATACCGGAAACAGACGTAGGCCTATATGGGACATTTCGAGCGTCATTGTGATACACACCCACTGAACTGATTACCCAAGATCCTCAGCTATGGTTGAAGCTCGGTGATTGGATGTTTTAGCCGCAATGCACGTTGGGATATGGTGTTTATGCGATATGAAATCCGAAAACATTTAAAAAAATTAAATAAAACTTTAATCCAAGTGTGCTTGCTTTTCTCTTTGAAAGTCATCACATAACGGCATTGTAATACACGGTTCGGCTGCATTAAATATTACACATCCGCGGTAGGGAGGCGTGTGGCGTAGTGGGTTAGTGCGTTGGCGTTCGGATCAGGGGAGCACAGGTTCAAACCCCATTGCAGTCAGCATGTCGTTGTGCACAGCTGATATAAAAGGACTTGTAGTTTTTAAAGATATTACTGATTTTCTTTGAATATAAGAATGTAAATACTGACTTGAGAGAATAGTCAGGGGATTTTGGTGATGGGAGACACATCTATGGAATCACAATTTCAATAGCTTACTGTTAAATGACGGATATACCTTTCTGTCTGTGATGTTTTACAAATCAGATATTAATGTGTAGAGGTAAAACATGTGAAATAGTATAGCAATATCCTGTAAAATTATGTGAAAACATGAATAAAATTACACATCTTCAGATGTTATACATACATACATACATGTAAGTGTCCTACACTAATAATAAAAAGTTATTATGGCATTGTATGCAGTTTCACAACATCTTCAGAAACTGCCTTTCCAACTCCTCACCAGTTGCCTGTCTTTGACTGTTACAGGTGTAGGTTCATGGTAAAATGCATAAGCTTCAAATCGAGAGAGATTGGGTCTCACACGGACACCGGAAACTGTATTTTTCTTTACCGTTCTGTTTTAATTTCACAATAAAGTTAATAGTAATATTATGTTTGATATTATTATGTTTTATTAACTAGACCACTGGGTCATGTTAGACCATCTTTTATGTCGGTTTGGTGTTACAAATATCAAGAAAATATATGTTTGGATAACAAAATACATCCGTCATGAACTAAACTGGAAACTTATTCTGGAAAGTATAATTTATTGTGTTAACACTTAAACTTGACCGTATTTTTAACCCGCACCACCTAGTGTTAAAGCACGTTATTGAATAGTTTTGTTGAATATATTATATTTGATGAAAAAAACATTAAGAGTACATACTAAATAGGGGGAAAGTAGAAGGTCAATGATAGAAATATAGAATAGAAAACATCAAGAAGATACTGTAAGTGATCTATACAATAAAACAGTTTAGTGCAGGATGTACAAAGATATTAATATGAGGATGTGCAAAACAGAAAAACGAATTAACCTTTATTTAAACATTAAAGAATACTTTAGGTTAAGGTCTTCTTTTAAATAAGAAAAAAGCTTTGGGGGTATCCACAGATAAATATTAAGCCTGACAAAGTACTTAACGTCTAATATATTGCTTTCCTGCAATGTTAACTATGTTCACTTTGAATGGGCTGACGTCACTTTGCCTCACTTTTTGCCGAACTGCATTGTGGGAAGCAGAGCGGAGATTTCCAGGCATCTCAGGATTCAAAAGTTGAGCAATGTTCAACTTTTGAAGCTGAGGTGGAAGCGTCAGCCAATCAAATCCCGTTTATGCAAATCTGACAGTACAAGCGCTAGCCAATCAAACCGCGTGTAATGCTGGGAGAGACATACCGCAGGTCATTTCCTCATATTCCAAAAAATGGAGGAGAAATGAATTATAGCGGTAGGGAATCACCCGGTGCTTTATGACCAGTCCCTATTTACCTACCGGGATATAAACCGGAGGAGCCAGGCATGGAGGGAGGTGACAGAGACAGTGGTAGGTTTCCGCCTGTTTGGGGAGTTTATATCCAGTTTACTTCAAACTTTTTTGCTTTGTATGTCGGGGGTGGGAGATTCATGTGATTGGTTGTTGGTCGCATTGCTCGCAAAAAATCCCCAAGCTTCAGATACGCCCACCTCCAAGATTTTTTTGTGGACGTACCATTACTGTTTTTATATTTTAAACGTACCATTACTGTTTTTATATTTAATCATCACTCATCGTGCTATGTATATCTGTGGAGTGATGAGGCCCGAGCCTAGACGCCAAACTCAACTATATGCTGCTTCTAATAAACATGTTAAAGAAACACATGAGTTGTCTGACTGAAATAATATTATTAATGACTTTATTTAAATCAGTTCCTGACGGACGGCAAAAAAAGCCCGACATTATATAATTAAACAAATAAATAAAAACAAGGATACTTTTGTGTTATTGTTGAGTAAATAACAGTGTGTTATTTAGAAAAGAATACAAAATTAGAAGGAAAACAAGTTTTTTTAAATATATATTTCAGTAGGCTACTATAACACGAAATGCCGTGAGACTGGGTTGGAGGGAGAGGCATTCCTTGATTGTTTACCGCAGACCTTGAATCCTTGAACAAAATGAATTTTCCTCATATGTAGAAATAGAAATATTAAAACAAGAGATACTGGTTGAAGGAGCATTCATTTCTTGACCATAAACACCTGGGGCCTCATTTATAACGCCTTGCGTAGGATTGACGTAGGAAGGTTGCTTACGTAGTACAAAGCACAAAAATAGGTACATACATTTTCCGCCATTTTCCGATTCACAAAACCTTGCGTACCGGCGAGGGAAGTGCGTACGGCACTCCCTACGCCTGTTTCCCTTGATAAATCACAATCGACTCGTAACGCCCATATTTGCCTATACATAGTCCAAGAAACGCCCATTCATTCATTCATTTTGACTGACTGCATGAAGAAGATCGCAGGAAATTACGATAGAACAGCTAAAAAAGACATCTCACACCGTGTCAGATTATGGTTATTGTGGGGAGGTGGAGATAAATCATATTGTTTGGTGGATGCAGTTTGAACCAGAGTAGCAGCATGGAGGTCGGATCGTCACCAAGATAAATAAATAAGTGGTCCGAAAAAAGTTAATGAATGAAAAAAAATACACATAACCTTCCTCAGGCAGTGTGTTTGTCCCGGGGACAGGAGACACCCCCTTGATCAGAAACTGTAAGAAATGATCGGGGAATCCCTCCGGAGTGTAGTCATGACGACTGGATCTGAATTATTTTTTTTGTATTTGGTGGTTTGTGTTCCAGCTGTCGATCAGCAACTATATATCCATAATCCACCAGTTAAAGGAAATACAACTAATGGATTGTGTTATATTAGCTGTACAATTTACCACATATGGTGTTCTTAGTTTCCATACCTCCTGTGTTTTACGAGCGACTTATCAAGTCTTGGCAAACGGCATAAAACACGATTAAACGTGATAGTATATAAAACCATGCTCGTATCTACAACCTATAGAAATGCAAAACGGCGTCAGTTTAGACGTAATTCTGTCCTCCTGCTTACCGCATCATTTATGAGAAAACATTTCATAACATTAACACAACATATTCGAGGTGGTTTTAAATAGCATATCCGTATTTATTTATTTCTCCAAGTTATGTTTTTGTGTGCACTGAGGAGTCTCAAACAGGCGTTTGTTTAATCATTTAAAGATTGGCTTTAATCAATGTTTGAAAATATATTCTTCATATTTGATAAATGAGAGGTAACATTTTATTTATGGTATTATTTCCACATATTTCTCTCCATTCTTCCTTCTGCCAACGGTGTCGCAGTTTCTCGTCTCTCCCGTTTGTGTGCTTAGTGCGTACGCATGGGTTAGAGTTTGCGTGGAGGACAGCACATTTTCCCGTCAAGTTAGTATTTTATAAATCGCAAACATTGCGTAGAAACTGGCGTACGCCATTTTTTGAGCGTATATCCCTTTATAAATGAGGCCCCTGGGCCCAGCATCTCAAAAGTGATCTTTCCATAGAACAGGGGTCTTCAACGTTTTTGAGGCGAAGGGAAGGATCGGAGAGAGAAACGGGAACCCCAGAGTAAAAACATCATGTTCCATATTTAATATGCATACATTTATGTGCAGGGCAACCTAAAGTGTCATGCATTAACATAACTTTTGAAAGTGTATACACAAAAAATAAGTAGTTGTTGTACTATCATCACTTTTAGCAGTGATGATAGTACAACAATGGTTACGGTACAGTTCATGTTTCTGTAATTTGTATTTTCAGACATATTTTGAGTTAAAACAGCCACCTGGATGTATTGGTTGTGAACTTGCTTGAACCTGACGTCACTAGATGTTGCAGCAACCATTCATTCGGTGCAGAAGCTCAGCCCCTCTGGAGTCCCCAAACAGCCTAATTGCCTGTGCTCCCCTGGCGCTGTATAGTCACTGTGCCCTGCTCCTAATACTATAGGAGCTATGTACTATGGGATGCAGTGTTTACATTTGAATGTGTGTGCTTTACTGTGTACATATCGGACAATCAGAAGTTGATTTGATTGGTTTCAAGTCAAGCTCAAGACTCTAGTTCTTTATTTACTTGTCCTTCCAGATGTGGTCAAGTTACAGGCTGGACTAACTGTATTGTGTGCACAGTCATTTATTTTTTTGACACCACAAAATATACATACACAATTTGTTAAAGTGCAACAGGAACTCCTGTCAATTTGACTTTCCTCTGTTGGTCTACGAAGCCTGATGATGCACGATGACCAAAACACAGTAAATAAAGTAAAGGTGTAAAAGAGACACAAACAAAGCCAGAGCCACTTACAGCTTTCAATCTCCAAGGTGCAGTTCTGCTCATCCAGTGGGTATCTGCGCAGGTCCATCATGCAGGCAGCTGTCGTGGTGATCCTGAAAGAAAATAACGTTATATCGTGATATCTGAGCAAATGTTCATCATGAGTACGAACACACTGAACCCTTACCTGTACTTCCAGACCTAGAAATCATCATTTAGTATTTGCACACACTTGAAAGTTAGTCCACACCGAAGCACATCCTTCAAGTTTCTACAGAGAAAATCATGATACCTGGAGGAAATGTACTTTATAAAATAATGAACAATATGGTTTTCCCCAATTCACGGCAAGTCATGTCAACAGCACATGTATAAGGAAGGACTCAAGATGTGAAAGGTTGTTCGTGATCTAGGCCATACAGGAACTGAACAATCTGTACATTACCATAGTTGCCTTTGCAATGCTGAAGTAGCGACTGCAGCTCACCTTCCTTTAAAAAGACACATTTTCAAATGTTATTACAGCCATGAGTATAAAGGAATTAACATCACAATCCAGGCAAATGGGTGAAACCTGGGACTTCCCCCTTTTGAAGTCTTTCATCTTAAGGAGGAAACACTTCAGTTTGACAGTTTAGGAGCAGTGTTGGGTGTAGCGCGTTACAAATGTTACGGAGTTACAGTAATGTATTACTTTTTGCTGCAACGAAGTAATGTAACGCATTACTAATGAAATGTGGGTAATATACTACCCGTTACAATTCTCAGTAACGCAGTTACTACACATCTTAACCCGAAATTAAATGGTGTTTTGTTTATTAAGAATTACAAACATCGCGAGACATTCCGACACCAGAGAAAAATGTTGCGGGTAGATTAGTAAGCCTGGTGTTTACCCTTCAGGCTGATCAAGATCCCTCCGCTTTGTGTCGGGTTCCCTGATCCACCTGTCGGGTGTTCTTTTCCCCATAATGACCGCCTCGCTGCACATTATCCCGCTTATTACACGGCCATATACTGAACAAACTGCAGAGCCCATTCCGTGTTCCTGTTATTGTTTACTTCCTCTCTGCCTTCTTCTGGTGATTTATCTGACGTCTTTTAACCTCTTTTTCTTTCTCTTTCTTGATCCTCCTTAGCGACCTTCATTATAGTCCTTGACAGTGGTCTTTACTACTGTATTAACACCGTGTCACATGTTAAGAATGTACAATCAGAATCCAGTATTCAACTAAGCCGTGTAATACAAGTTGTTAGTAGCCTTAAGGGCCTACACAGTTGTTATGCTATACCACATCGCCCTTCACTGGATGTATAATGAGCTGCACTAAACTACATTTTAGCATTTCAAATACCTAGCCATTCTTTTGCGGTTATTTTGGTAAAGTAACTCAAAAGTAATATAAAAGTAGTGTAACTCATTACATTTCAGAGACAGTAATATTGTAATTCAACTTATTACTTAAAAAATATGTATTGTATTACATTTTGGAAGTAACTTGCCCAGCACTGTTTATGAGTAAATCAAAGATTGACTCATTCATTATTTTTGAATGTAATTCTGGGCTCTGTGTTGATGAGAGCCATGAACAGTTCTTAGTGAGAGTGAGGCTGTGGTTGTTTAGTGCGCAGCCTCACACAGCTCAGTCTGGGCTCAGAATAGTGAGGTCAGTCATTATACTCATTAGTTTGAACACACAATAAACCACATCCCAGCAAACCACTACAACCATCTAGGGTTAGGGTTAAGACATTGGCAAAATAAACTGCACTTATATAACACTTTTTCAGTTTTAAATTACTGAGCTATTGAATATACTATAAGTCAGCGTTCACCTCTCAACACATTCATACAGAGAAAGAGGCTGCCATACAAGGTGCCTAACATTAAACACACAATCACACATCGTTGGCCATCACCTGGGAAATATCACAAGGGAGTAAGATGATGTCAAATGTATTTTAATAACTTATTGTTGGAGGAAAAAAGACCCAGGATTGGCAAAAAGAAAACAGGACCTCCCCACCAACATCTTAGGTTCAGAACAGTTGAGTAGGTATAGGGATCTTCACAGGTAAAAACAAGGCAATAAAAACTTGCTGCAGTTAAGTTTTACGTAGCAAACACTTGGACTCCCAAGGGGGAAAGAGACATTGGTTGTGCTGTGGCCCACATATCCTTGTTCTAATGTTTTCTATGGTGTCAAATGTTACGTTATTTGAAAGACTTAGCCTAACTTTTGAAACACTTACCTCTGAAGTTTCAAAGACCAATTTATTTTTTAAATCCTTGTTACACACACAGTTTCTACTTTGAAAATGAGATAGTAAACTGAATACATTGATTATATTTTACTACATTATATTAAATCACATCACATCTCACATGGCAGAACATTAACTGGATTAAATCCGACTACAACAGTATATGGGATCCTGTACTATAGGATGCTTCAGGTGGTCTGTTGATTTAGCAATGTCTGAGTTAGCAAACTGATGAATGCTGTAAAAGGTGGTTGAAAAATACAAAAAAAGCTAGTAAGTAAACTCTAAACTTGGCGACAACGTTTTCATCGATAGCTTCCTCCCCGGTTCAGGTTTCTACCGACAACATTTTCAACCTTTCCTTTGTTGGCTTCAGGACTGTTGTGAACGACAAGGATTGTGCCAAGAGCTTCATCATGTCTTCATCATGAGCCTGAGTCTTCATCATGAGCCTGAGTCTTCATCAGGAGCCTGAGTCTTCATCATGAGCCTGAGACTTCATCATGAGCCTGAGTCTTCATCATGAGCCTGAGACTTCATCATGTCTTCACCATGAGCCTGAGTCTTCATCATGTCTTCATCATGAGCCTGAGTCTTCATCATGTCTTCACCATGAGCCTGAGTCTTCATCATGAGCCTGAGTCTTCATCAGGAGCCTGAGTCTTCATCATGAGCCTGAGACTTCATCATGTCTTCATCATGAGCCTGAGTCTTCATCATGTCTTCACCATGAGCCTGAGTCTTCATCATGTCTTCATCATGAGCCTGAGTCTTCATCATGAGCCTGAGACTTCATCATGTCTTCACCATGAGCCTGAGTCTTCATCATGTCTTCATCATGAGCCTGAGTCTTCATCATGAGCCTGAGTCTTTATCATGAGCCTGAGTCTTCACCAAGAGTCTGAGTCTTCATCATGTCTTCATCATGAGTCTGAGTCTTCATCATGTCTTCATCATGAGTCTGAGTCTTCATCATGAGTCTGAGTCTTTACCATGAGTCTGAGTCTTCATCATGAGTCTGAGTCTTCATCATGAGCCTGAGTCTTCATCATGTCTTCACCATGAGTCTTCATCATGAGCCTGAGTCTTCATCATGTCTTCACCATGAGACTTCATCATGAGTCTGAGTCTTCATCATGTCTTCATCATGAGTCTGAATCTTCATCATGTCTTCATCATGAGTCTGAGTCTTCATCATGAGTCTGAGTCTTCACCATGTCTTCACCATGAGTCTGAGTCTTCATCATGTCTTCACCATGAGTCTTCATCATGAGCCTGAGTCTTCATCATGTCTTCACCATGAGTCTTCATCATGAGCCTGAGTCTTCATCATGTCTTCACCATGAGTCTTCATCATGAGCCTGAGTCTTCATCATGTCTTCACCATGAGTCTTCATCATGAGCCTGAGTCTTCATCATGTCTTCACCATGAGTCTTCATCATGAGCCTGAGTCTTCATCATGTCTTCACCATGAGTCTTCATCATGAGCCTGAGTCTTCATCATGTCTTCACATGACGGTCCTGCCTGACTCTCATCATACTACTTCCCTGATGGCTCCCACAGGATTGTTGACATCCTCGTGGATTCATCTTCTTATTATAGACACATGCATTTCCAAACATTTGGACTACCTATGCTGTAAATGTATTATCTCTTTGATTTACACACGGCATCTATTGCACGTCTGTCCGTCCTGGGAGAGGGATCCCTCCTCTGTTGCTCTCCCTGAGGTTTCTCCCATGTTCCCCTTTAAACTGTGGGGTTTTTCTCTGGAAGTTTTTCCTTGTACGATGTGAGGGTCTAAGGACAGAGGGTGTCGTATTGTCATACTGATATTCTGAACAAACTGTGCTGTTGTATTTGCTGTAAAGTGTCTTTACTGTAGGATATTTTTATTATATGTACAGCACTTTGGCTCGACCAAAAATCGTTTATAAATGTGCTATATAAATAAAACTTGAATTGATTTGATTTGATTTCACCATGAGCCTGAGTCTTCATCATGAGCCTGAGTCTTCATCATGAGCCTGAGTCTTCATCATGTCTTCATCATGAGCCTGAGTCTTCATCATGAGCCTGAGTCTTCATCATGTCTTCATCATGAGCCTGAGTCTTCATCACGAGCCTGAGTCTTCATCATGTCTTCATCATGAGCCTGAGTCTTCATCATGTCTTCATCATGAGCCTGAGTCTTCATCATGTCTTCATCATGAGCCTGAGTCTTCATCATGAGCCTGAGTCTTCATCATGTTTTCACCATGAGCCTGAGTCTTCATCATGTCTTCATCATGAGCCTGAGTCTTCATCATGTCTTCACCATGAGCCTGAGTCTTCATCATGTCTTCATCATGAGCCTGAGTCTTCATCATGTCTTCACCATGAGCCTGAGTCTTCATCATGAGCCTGAGTCTTCATCATGTCTTCACCATGAGCCTGAGTCTTCATCATGAGCCTGAGTCTTCATCATGTCTTCACCATGAGCCTGAGTCTTCTAGTGTTCATTTTGTTGACTAAAACTATGACAAAATATGTTCGTCAACAACCTTTTTTTCCATGACTAAGACGAGACGATGACGAGACGGCACCGACGTCAGTAAACAATAACTGTAACGATATCAACATGCAATATCGTTGACGAAAAATGACGAGATGAACATTTAGTTTACTAAATAAAAACGTTGCCAAACTCTCTCTTTACTTTCGTTGACGAAAAAGGAGGAGACGAAATATTATCAGAGATAACGTTACATCTGATAGTCAGTTTTTTTCCCCAGCAGTTACATTTCCGGTGCTGCGGCTGGGCACCAGTTGTGTGTCTGTGCTGCGCGCGGTACATTTGAATTACA